CACCCTTGCGGCCGTTACTCACATTTGCAATAGTACCAACGTCATTGTTACCCGATTCTTGAGAGAGCAGGAGGTTCGCCGTTACAAGGTCAATTAGGGCGTCGCCGCGTTCACGATCCAGCGTAAGGATGCGATCATGAAGGTAAACGGTAGACACCAGCGTCGAATTGCGGCGCCGCGTAGGGCCACGGATGACCAGGCTCGCAAGACGCCAGAAAATCGCAGGCAACGCGGCTTCCATCGTGGAGCTATCACGTCAAGTGGGGTGCGTGGAGCGCAGCAGCACCCGAACCAGCTCAGCGCCTTGTCAGTGCCGTGCTACGGCGCCAGATGAGATCTCATGCCAGGTATATTCCGTTTCTCACGACGCGTCACCCGGTCGGCGCCAGACCCCCACCGCCACCTTCGGCGCAGGTTGCCCAGAGCGGCGTCTCGAAAGTGGCTGGTGGCGCACCGTTCCTACGGAACACTCCACAGACGGGACTGCCGGTTAAAGTAGCGCCAACGCCACGGAAGGCACCTTCGCCCGTTGAAGCAAAGGATGCCAAGGAGGAGCCCGCCAAGGTATACCGACATTAACGTGCTCTCGGGAGATGTCGCGGCCCGTTCTCGAAGCCGTCCGCCTGGCGGCGCCGGCGCTATCGGCGTCGGCGGGTTGGCCCGCGGCTCAAGCAGGACCGCGCTAGCGCAACCGCCAATAGGAGCCGCCGCGCCCCCAACGTATCCTCTCGATGCAAAGACGCTAGCGCAGGCTAAGAAAGCTGTCGCCATTGGCATGCGCCGTCAGCCGCAGTTGTGCGCCAGTGTGGGTAAGCAAGAAGAGGGCGTCTGCGCGGCTTTGATTTCCCGCCGCTCCCGGAGGGTGGCAGGTGACAACTCACGCCACGCGCAACTCGTGGCGGTGTTTCTACGGCCGCTGGAATGTGTCAGCCTGGCACATGCGGTGCAAATCACATCGTCGGAGGGCTGCTTGGTGTTCGAACCCAGTTATGAGTTTTGCTGCGGTGGCCCCGTCCTGACGTTGCCGTTGCCATGTCTGGGCGAGCCACCCGCGTGGCGGGGCGAGATAAATTTGCCGCCGCCTGGTACATTATGGCGCATGGCTCATGCAGGTTAGCCGCGCCCAGTCCACGTGACCCCTGAACTACCGTGCGCTGGTGGGCCCGAGAGTCTTTACCCATCGACCACCGCGCCCGGTTTTGGTTACCAGCAGGATCTTCATCGTAGCGCAACCAGGACGCATGGTTCCTAAGCAGATGAGCTAGCCAATATGTGTGGTACCATGTCCGGAATGCTTTTGGTAGGTAGCCCCGTGGCCCCTTTCTTTCCAGGTAGCTGTGACGAGTTTGACTGCGACCGTGGCGAGATCAGCGCTGGAGCTGTTTTCGTGAGGTGTGCGACCGAAGAGTTAGCCGATTTCTGGTTTACGTAAGCTGGCGGATGGGTCGGTGTTCTATGATGCGCAGTCGTAGATCGCAACGCGTTCCGCCCCAATCTCCCGAAGTGCGTCGATATCACCCGGGGCAAAGGTCACGTTATGCAACCCGTCTTGCTGCTACTGATGCTCGTTGCCATGCCGCCCTGCTAGACCGTCGTGGAGTGCGCCGCCGCACCAAGACGAGGAAGGAAGCCGTTTGCTGGCAGGCCTGACATGGCCGACATTCGACTTCGATCTCTGGCCCAACGATAGCACGTGGATGAAGAGCTCCAGCGCTGTCAAGGACTTCCTCAGGATGAGGGGTGGTATGCGCGCGGGCTTCCCTTCCTACCCTCGCAACCCAGCTCGTTCATGCTGGTGGGCAGTAGTGCATTGCGAAAACGTGGCAGGCAAGAGCACCGAGCCGGTCAGGGGCCACGATGACGGTTGTTGGGTCAACCAAGAGCAGCAGGATGAGGCTTACCAGTAGGCGTCCGTGAGCGACCTTGGCGATGAGCTTAAAAGGTCGCCCATCCTCAGGTGAGACATAGATGCTGTGGAGCAGACTTGGATGCGAGGCGTCCGCGCGACCGCTCTTCGGTGGTGGGCCAGCCGCAGTTGCCAGCACCGGGTCGTTATCCTTATCTGTTCCTTTGCCTGGTAGCTGTTACTGCAGTCGAATATGCCAGCTATCTGCGTGACTTGGGAGCCCTGCGCGTTGACGGCCAAATCATAGTCACCTCCTCTCCTGTGCTGAATAGTGGATGTTCCTGGTTTCGCTCCGCATCTGAATGTCTTCGCTGGGTTGGCGACCTGGCCACGGTTTCTTCACAACTGCGCGACATCAGCTTTGATCCAGCCTGTTAGGTGTTCGCTTCTCCCCCGTATCTGTTGTCCGGCCAGATGGCCGAGGCTGGAGTTCGGCATGGCGTTGCGAGTGGGGGATGAGGGTCTGCTTGCTTGGTTGTCAGACGCATGTCGTTGTCGACGCCCGCGTGCTCCAGTGACCAAGCAATGCAGGCCCTGTTCTTTACCCTGGAACATGTATAGCATGAGTTTGCCCTCGTGCAGATCCTCCTCGGGATGTTGGACGATCTCGCGTGCCGAGGAGCCGCCAGCACGGATGCAACCGCACGGATTCGCAGCGGGCCCCGTTCCACACCGTTGCCGTGCAGGGTCGGCGCGCTCCGTGGCCAAATGGGGCGGCATTGGTCAGGAGGCAACAACAACGCACAGACATCATTGACCGCCGATTCCCAGGGGAAGCTGGGAACAGATGGGAAGTGGGGGGGGGGAGGCAACAGCTCAGGAAATATGAGAAACTATGGGGGATCTGGTTAGTTGTGTGTATTTATGTGCGTGCCCCAGGGCCTCTTCCATTGGCCTCACGGTTCGTTCGGTGTTTTTCCCGATCCGTGGGACGCGGCGCCTCCACAACCGGATCCGCGCACCCCTGCGCATTCGTAGCGTGTGCCCAGACGCGGAGTCTCAATGGACCGTGCCGCCCACCGTGGCGATGGCCGCCCTGTCACGCGGGCCCCTGCCACGTATTTTTTTTTCTGGCACTCGCCACAACATGGGGGCCGCGGCGCGAGCCCACGACAGGAGGGATGGGAGGAGGAACGGATCAGGCATTACGCGTGGAAAAGGGACAGGGGACGAGAAGGAGGAGGAGGAGGGGAGGAGGGAAGGGGACGAACAGGAGAGGGAGGCTGAAGGAGGGGGGGCGAGGGACGGGGGAGATCTTTGGAAGAGACGGAGGCGGTTGTGTGGGGGGGGGAGGGACGGAAGGCGATCGAGGCATGAAGGAGGGCGGAAGAGGAGGCGGCAGTCAGACCTGGGAGGAGGGAGGGAGGGATAAACGGGGGAGGCAGGAGAGAGGACCGATGAGGCAGGAAGAGGACGACGAAGATCACCACCCACCAAACCACCCCAGCCGAACGCGAAGGCTCAGATTTACCCTCGATTTCCAGTGGGGTTGGGGTCGGGAAACATCGAAAAAATGCATGTGGAACCCTTACCCCCCCCAACCCGAAATTCGGGTCCTCGGGTTGGGTTGGGGTGGTCTGGTGGGTAGTCAGAAGAGGAAACGGAAGGGGAGGGGGAAGGTTGAGAGGAGAAGACGGGGGAAGAGGAACGGGAGGGCGAGGAGGGAGAGGAGAAGGAAGAGGAGCATCACCGGAGTAAGCCCACGATGCATCAGCGATGCTGCAAGACACCCCTTGCATACGTCCGTACATGCTTTCATTGTCATTGCACATCGCCCCCCCTTGAAAAACACACACAACAACAACAACAACAACAACAACAACAACAACAACAACAACAACAACAACAACAACAACAACAACAACAACACCAACAACAACAACAACAACAACAACAACACCAACAACAACAAAAACAACACACACACACAACAACAAAACACGCACGCCGTTTGGCCTGCCATTCTGGCGAGGGCGCCGCTGTGCAAAAGGAACTGCCGTGCAGCTCTCTGGCCCGTAGTCTTGAGGCATTCGAAGAACTACAGACACACAGTTCATCGAGGTGTCCAATGAGATGAGATTTCAATGAGGTGTCCAATGAGATTTCATCGAGGTGTCCAATGAGATTTCATCGAGGTGTTCATTGAGTACATCTGGGTGTCCAATGAGGTTTCCGTCCCGAGAGAAGATAACAGGACCGCCCCCTACCGATTGTTGCGCAGCCCTTGGCCGTGAATTCCTCGGAGGCCTCGAGCGAGATTCCATGTGTAGTTAAGCAAGCCGCGATGACCCCGTGCAGTGCTGCATGTGCTGAAGCCTCGGGCCTCAGACACACCAGGGCGCTTTTTTTTAAGCCCATGTGTGCAAGCTTCTACTATATCTTCGATGCTCACACATCCACTCCCCCGGCACCACTAAAAAGGGGCCGTTCTCCATCACCGACGCTACCTCGAACTGTTCAATCCAATGCCTGCACCGCGAATGTGAGAGCCGCAGTGTTGGAACGTCCCCTCTCCATCCTGGAGACTCCCCCGCGAATTCGGGACGACTAAGTGCGGTGCCCAGGCGACAGCCCCATTTTTTGAAAACGAGCTGTGCTCAGTCCTCAGTCCTTGAACAGGTTGCATGCTTTCAATAAGGCGAATGCGCACGGCGCGAAAGCAAGGGGCCAAAAAGGGAACACACCGAATGTGCAACTCAAGGCGGAATGGACGTGTGAAAGTAAAGACGAATATGCGCGGTGCTAATGCGACGCCCAATGATGAAAACCATATGTTCTCAATGCTTGGACCTCTTGTATATTTTGAAGGCTGCTTCGCGCGGCTCTGAGACGACGGCACACTTTTTCGAACGACCTGCGCTCAATCCTTGCAACCGCTGCAGCTTTCAAGCTCCATTCACCGAAATTTTGAGGTCGTCTCACGCGGCCCGCCTTGCCCGCCCTACAGACGCGTCTGGGGGGAAGACACGGAGGAATCATTCGCTTATAAGGAAGGAGGGATTAAGCAGGAGGGAAGGTGGGAGTACGCAGCGGCGAAGGGGGCAAGGGGGCCGTGCTGCAACCTTCAACCTGGGCCTGCCCCTGGGGCACCCAGGTCCCCGAGCTGGCGGGCGCGTCCGGCAGCAAGGACCTACTCAGCACCTTCAAGGACGCGCGGGCGCGCACCGCCAGGCCCAAAAGAAGAACCAGCACGTGATGAGGAGGAGGAGGGGGGGAGGAGGATTGGAGGAGGAGGAGGAGGAGGAGGAGGAGGAGATGAGGAGGAGGAGAGGAGGAGGAGGAGGAGGAGGAGGAGGAGGAGGAGGAGGAGGAGGAGAGGAGGAGGAGGAGGAGGAGGAGGAGGAGGAGGAGGAGGATGAGGAGGAGGAGGAGGAGGAGGAGGAGGAGGAGGAGGAGGAGGGAGGAGGAGGAGGAGGAGGAGGAGGAGGAGGAGGAGGAGGGAGGAGGAGGAGGAGGAGGAGGAGGAGGAGGAGGAGGAGGAGGAGGAGAGAGAGGAGGAGGGGAGGAGGAGGAGGAGGAGGAGGAGGAGGAGGAGGAGGAGAGGAGGAGGAGGAGGAGGAGGAGGAGGAGGAGGAGGAGGAGGAGGAGGAGGAGGAGGAGGAGGAGGAGGAGGAGGAGGAGGAGGAGGAGGAGGAGAAGGAGGAGGAGGAGGAGGAGGAGAGGGAGGGGAGGGAGAGGGAGGGAGAGGAGGGGAGGAGGAGGAGGAGGAGGAGGAGGAGGAGGAGGAGGAGGAGGAGGAGGGAGGAGGACCGGCGCTGGGCGCCCCCGTGACGGCGCCCCCGGCGCCTCTCTCAGCGCCTCCCTCGCGCCAGAGAGGGGGGGGACCAACGTCGATCCGGGAGCCTCGCGTGGCCTTCA